CTGTCTGTCCACATTAATAGGTAAACCTTCCATCTCACATTTCTTTATTTGCTTCCAAATGAATGAGATGCACCTTTGTGACACATCATTTTCTGTTGCAAGTGCAGTTAGTACTGTTTGGAAATTGATGTAACGTACCTCGAGAGTACGGCAGCCGATGTTTAAAATGTTCCCAAACAGATCTTTCCTGATTATGACAAAATAACGAATATGATAATAATAATAATAATAGATCTAAGTTAGAACTTACAGATCTTCCAGCCTAGCAGTGATAATCCTTGACCTTTGGTATCCACGTGATTTCTCCTTTCCGAAAGAACGGTTAGATCTCCCTAAGAAAAAATGCTAGGAAATCTCTTCGCAGGGAAATAAACTGGTAATACTGAATCTTAAAACTTGCCTATCAATTATGAAGGAGAAGGATGTATTTATACTAGTTCTAAACTAGTTTCCCAATCACAATGAAAGACTTTCTCATTAATGAGTTCTATTCCTATCAGGACCAATACTTATCATTAACGATTTTATTAATTAAATAAGTAAAACAAAATAAACTAATAATAATATCAAAGTGGCTGCACGTCACTTTGCTTGTTATTATTATTAATTATTTCATTTTCTATTTTCTTTTAATTCTAAATTATAAAAGAAAAATACCAACTTTATTTAATTAAAATTACATCTTAATTAAGTATAATAAATCTAATTTATCAAACTTAATTAATTCTATCAAATAGAACTTTCCTTCAACATGATGAATTAAATATATTAATCTAATTAATAATTAACTCATCATATTTTCACCATTATGAATTAAATATTATTTAATCCAATTAATAATATTTAATTCCTTCTAACAATTCAATCGGAAGGTATAATCACTTGTTGTTTGACCCGTAGGGCCTTATATAGTAAGCACTAATCAAATTAAGGTCTTAGTAGAATCCCTAGACAATTTACCAGACAAACTTAATATATAAGGACGTTTGTGAAGACTATTCAAACTCCCTGTAGTATAGAGCTCATAGTGATACGGTCCTTTCATTCAACGAACATTCAACTAAGTCTGGAACATTCAACGAAAATTACGGACTCAGAAATATCAAGTGTTTGGGTAATTAATAAAATCAGATTAAGTTAATGACGATTAGCTAATTTAAATAATTATTGTAATCTACGGATTATATAAATTAAGATAATTTTGAAATTGGATATTATAATTAAAGGCTGAATTAGTAAGTTATTTTGAGTAATAAAAAGTGATTAATTCAGATAAATAATTAATTAAATTAATAAATTCGAATAAGGAAATAAAAAGGGAAAATTGGATAAACTATTGAATAAGTGACTAATTATATTATCTTAATTAAAAAGGTGATTATTTAGAGATCGGAGTAGAGGAAGAGAATTAGGAGCATTGAATTTGAGGTAAGTTTCTCTGCCAATCCAAAATTGTTTCCTCGTATTATATGCTTATTATGCATTATGTGATTAAGTGTGAATTTTAAATGTGTACTATTTTGGGCGACTAAGAATATTTGAAATATTGGAGATATATTTTGGGATTTAATCCCTAGTATGACTTTGGAGTGAATTTTTATGTAATACAATTTTGGAGTATTTATGAATGTGGATTTTTGGTGGACGTATCCATTAAATGGATATTTTGGAAGACTATGTATAGAGAAATGATTTTCCAAGAATGAATAATGTTTTTATAATGATTATTGACATCTCGAGAGAAACACGAGGTGTGGGTTGTTAGAGCTATATACCGCGGGTTTAGTTTAAATTTATGATGATTATTGGTGGCGGGAGAAATCCCGGTAAATATTGGTGGCGGGAGATTCCCGGTATTTCTTTTGAGAACTTTAAAAGTTCTTTGGTGGCCGCGGTAGTAGTTTCTAATCACCCGGGTTTCTAACCCATTATATTGTGAGGTAGGGGGACGTTGTCCGAACTACTTGGACTTCTTACTACTCGGAGGGCTTGGAATCCCTTTTAGGGGGTGTGCACACTTAAGGGTGAAGTTCAGTTTCCGATTGGTGGTCAGTGGGAGCCGGAATTTCCAGGATGAGTCGCACACAACAACGATTCATTGGACTCGAGTAATCTTGAGTTTCGTCCATCTTAAAAGAATCTAAGAGTGACATTGATTTTGGAATGGTGGTATTTTTAGCTACAAAAGATATTTTGAAGAGTGATACTCTTATTTGAGATGTTAATTGTTTGGAGCATATAAGTATTATTTTTAACTATACGGGTATTTAAGATTATAAAATTGATAAATGGTGTTTTTGATTAGAAAAGAATTTCGGTGGTGTGAGTATTTTTTATATAGTATTATATGAAAAATTATTTTCACCAAACCTGATTATTTTACGGGGTTGGGTAGTACTTACTTAGCTCTAAAGCTAATTTTTGTTATTTTTCTTTGTTTTGTTTTCTGCACTTTATTTGTGCAGGTAATGTTGAATATGAAGCTCTTGATGTTTGACGAGTCTTGAGAGCGCTTTAGAAGATTAAGTGTAGTCTTCACTTAGTTTAAATTATGTTATCAAATTTTAAATTTAAGTTATTGATTCGGTTGAACTCATGGTGGATAGCCTTAACATCCAGCCAAGTTGAGGGCTGGGTGTGGCGGTAACACACCCTTTTTCCATTATGGTTATTTCCGCTGCAAAACTCTATCTATTTTTAAGGAATAAATCAATGTTATTATCAATATATTATTTCTAAGTATTATTTTGGGAGGGAAAAATGGGGGTGTTACAAATTGGTATCAGAGACTTAGGTTTTTCTGAAAGGATTAGAACACGAGGTAATAGGTCGTAGGGAGAAATTTTGTCACAAAGACGATAACAGTCTAAGCTGGTTGGTGCATAATTGAGTCTTTGCGCTCGTCCAACGAACTGGGAATTTCTCCTTGTGCTGAAACTTCGTTGTTCGAAATCTTTGACGAAAACTATAGTTTCGATGCGGGGATTTTCAAGATGTTTTTGTAAAACTAGGAGAATGAAAATACTAGGAAAAAGACCTTTTAGGACGCGATGAGAGGGAGAAACCTTTGCGAGATTATTGAGTTATGAAATGCATGAAATTCGTGCTTATGTGAAGTATGTGGAGTAAGTAAGATCCTTTGTACGTGTTTATTTGTTTTAAGAATTTGAAGTTAGTAGAGAACTTGTATAATGTAGAAGCTTTATGAATGCCTTAGTACTTAGTACTCGTTTTCTGTATTAAGAATCATGCCGCCGAGGAGAGACCCACATTCAACCCCAACTGTCGCGGAACTGGCTCAAACTGTCCAGCAAATGGCGCAGCTCATCGGAGCAGCCCAACCTCAGAACCCTGGGATTGACTACGCAACAAGGGTTGCCGGGCGAAACCCTCCAAAATACTTGGGCGAGGAGGATCACCTTATCCTGGAGGACTGGATCCGCACTTTTGACAAGCTCTTTGACTCACTCAATTGCCCACCGGAGCAACGAGTGAACATTGCGGTGTATTATCTGCACCAAGAAGCGGACCACTGGTGGGCCGCCAACGGACCAGCACTTCTCGGGCAACCGGGCTTTGATTGGGAGGACTTCATTGTGGCACTGCGTGATCGCTTCTATCCGGATCACGTGAAAGAGGCAAATTATGACGAATTTGTCAACTTTAAGCAGGGTGACCTGACTGTTCAGGAGTACCACACAAAGTTCGTTCAACTGGCTCGTTTTGCCAAGGACCTGGTGTCAACCGAGGCCAGTATGACCCGCAGGTTTGTTAACGGGCTTAACTACGGGGCCCAAAAGTTTGTGACGGTAGCAGAGCCGCGGAATTTGAATGAGACTTATAGAAAGGCTGGTAAGTACTACCTGGTACACCAGAAGGAAAGGGAGGCACACAAAAGAGACCGAAAGAATGCGGAAGTGGAGCAGCAACAGAAGAAGGCCAAGATTGATCGCCCTGAGCAGCGCCAGAACAACCAAGGCGGAGGAAGATTCCAAGGTCAAAATCAGTGGAAGGATCGTGAGAGGCACTATTACTGCAAGCGTTGTAATAGAGATCACCCAGGCGTAAATTGTGACGGAAGTCAAACCAAATGTTTCAATTGCGACAAGCTAGGACACCGAGCTTTTGAATGCAATTCCAAGAAGGCGGACGTACCGGCAAACCCGAATCAGAGGAGTGATGGGAACAATGGCAACAACCCCAATAGAGGTCAAATCTACGTGATGAATCAAACTCAGGCAAACGCTCACAATCTCGACTCAGGTAATGTTCTTGTTACGAGGACGTAACCTCTCGTTAAGGTGGGTAGAATGTAATACTTTAGAATTTTGTCATTTGACTTTAGTTTAAGCTTTGGGACTAAGCATCTTTTAAGGGGGGGACAAATTATAACACCCACATTAGTAAAACATTAGGAATTCTTTTGTCTTAGCTTACGCTTCGGGACGAAGCATTCTTTATGGGGGATGGAATGTGACCCCAAAAAAAAAAATGTAATAAAAATGAAACAGATAAAATTTACCTGCCAAAATTAAAATAAATATAAAGTATTTGATATAAATTGTCTTATAAAATAAACAAAACAAATAATACTTTGTAGATAATAAAGATGAACAATAAATCTATGTACATATACGTGATAGTAATAAACTAAGTAATACATACTATGTACGTTATAATATAGAGTACATGCGTATACATCATATACATGCATCATGTTATATGTAATACATACTACGCATGTAGAGTACATGTTGCGTGCATACATACACAAATACCATTACAGGGACCTAATACGCATGCATACATAAGCGTAACTGATAAACCAACGGGTTGGAGAGTTACTAAGGTTATTATTATCATCATTAAAGGGACAATTAAGGAGCCAAAAACGGATAATCAGAAACCAACGGGTCAATCTCTACGTATATACAGAGAGTATATATATATATATACCTTGACTGGCGAAATTATTCTGCACCAAGGAAAGCCAAACAAACGTTTAAACACCAAATATATAGTCTCTAGGAGTAAGGGAGGATCCAGGTGAAGTATTTAGAAGAAAAGAAGCGCCCGAAAGCTGTAGTTCCACGCCGGAGAAGAAGAAGTTGTTGCCGTCGGACCAATTTGCTGCTGCCGTCGTCACTCAACCGGGAAGCCATCGTGTGCCGCCATCTTCAAGGAAGTCTTGCCGCCGCCTGAGCCGACTGGTCACCACCGGAGACTAAAGCCTGGCATCGCCGCCGGTACCGCATTAAGGACGACGGACTGTACGTAGTTTATAAAGTCTCCCGTATCCCTTCTTTTAGCTGATAGATTGGGCTGGGTTATTTTCACGGGCTGGTTATTTTATATGGACCGTAAAATTTATTATTATTGTAGTAGTAATAATAATAATAATAATATTAATCTGCAAAATTGATAAGTTTGACATGAGAAATAGTAATTGATAGAGTATATCTCCTGAATTCAAGAGAGAAGTGAGAGCTAGAGAGAGAAGTGCAATAATATGCTTCAATAGAATGATTTTGTAACCCCCTATAACTACTCCCAAGGGGAGTATTTATAGAGAAAATTAGGGTTGGGCTCCTAAACCTTGGGCTTGGGAGGCCCATTTACAACTGGACCGCTACTGGGCCGAATACAAAGCCTCTAATGGGCTGTACAAATGAGTGAGTATAGGATCCGATTCTGGGAGGTCTTCGTGGCCGACGAGGGCGCGGCCGACGAGGGCACGGCCGACGAGGGCGCGGCCGACGAGGGCACCCGAGTCCCTTAGGCTCAGGACCGTAATCTGAGTTGGCACCTTTTCGGCCGACGGGGGCGTCATGGCCGACGAGGGCGCCACTCTGTTGTCTTGTGCTCTGTTCTTCCGAGTATGTGGGTCCTGGGGCTCAGACCCATATACTCCATCAGGAGTCCCCCACTCTCTAAGCTGAGACGTAGACGAAGTGAAGGAGAGTAGATTTCTGTGTTTTGTTGCTTTTGGCGTTGTTTTCCTCTTTGGTGATCCTGTTCTGTGCTTAGGCCGTTACCTGTTCCTCGCTGTGGGCGGGTAGGCCGTTGTTTCCTTAGTTTGTTTTGGGACGATGAGTGTCCTTCTTTCGATGGTGGCCGTTGAGGGCGCGCTTTCCCTTCCCTGGACGTTGGTGGTTGAAGTTTATGTTTGGGCCGGTGAAGCCGTTGAGGTTGTTCCTTGCTTTGAGGACGATGGCCTCATTTCCTTTGAGTGGCCGATGAGGGTGTTTGCGCACTCCTTTTGGTCGTTGCTGGTTGGCCTTCGTGTTTTTGGCCGAAGAGCCCGTCAAGATTAATTGTTGGCGGAGGACGATGAGTGTCCTTGCCTCTAGTGGCTTGTTGGCCGTTGCTAGTGACGTTATGGGCCTTTGGCCGATGAAGTTCTATTGTGCTGTATGGATGATGTGGCCATGCTTTGTGGTTACCTTATTCGCACTCTTTTGTTTTGTTGAGGCCGGTGTAGTCCCCCAGTCCCCCACTACTTCAGGCCGAAGAGTGTGAGGGGTGAAGGAGTTGCTTGAGTCCCTGGCCGAAGTGGTCTCGCCGTAGTTCCCCTGAATCCAACTCTCATGGCGATTTTCTGGCCAAGGTAACCCTGTGGGAGAACCCTTGTGCGCAGATCGCTTGTAGAGAGTTATCATCAAGGGTTATCACGAGGAGCCGAAGGTTGTGGGCTATTTGTCCCCTTTGTTCTGTGGCCGTTACGTTCCTGGCCGTTGCCATCCGCTTATTGTTTGGCTTTTGTGATCTTGGTGAGCAAGTGGGACGTTGTGGGCGCTTGCTGGCAGTTGTAAAGCCGCTGAGCGTGTGTAGGCCGTAGGGTCTGACTTGCCGGTGGGCCGTTGATATGGGTTGGTCCTGGACCGTTGGTGACGTGGTGGCCCCCCAGTGGTGGCCGTTGATGTGGCCATTGGGGGAGTGCCACGTGTAGTGACCGTTGGCGGGGGGGTCTATAAATACCCCTTCCCCTCCGACGAAGAATCACATTTGCATTCTGAATTTGTCGAAGTGCTGGCCGATTTTCTAGAGAGATAAACTCCCAAGCCTGTTCTTCGTGTTCTTCGTTGTTTGAGGTTAGTGTTCATCACGATCTTCCTCACTTTTCATATTGTGCTCCGTAAGTAGTTGATCTAGTGTTAGGCATTTAAACACCTTTAGATCGTAAGTTCCCCTTAAGCCCGTAGTAGTAGTAATGAAGAGCTTGAATGACGACTACTACCCCTACGACGACCAGCCCTCCACGAGGTCGCTTGACTACGAGGTGCTCGAGGAGTTTGAGGAGGAGATAGAGCGTTTAAGTCCATACAAATCCGCGGAGCTGATGGACGAGGAAGGCGAGGACGAGGAGTCCGCCTCCTCTTCAAAGGGTGAGGACGTAGGTGCGTCCCGAGTGGTGGACGGGGCGTCCACTTCTGCTGTCATTCCGTGCCCGAGGCCGGTGTCCGCCGTTAAGGGAGCCGCCAAGCCGAAGAGAGTGAGGAGGCCGAAGAGTGGGCCCGGCGTCTCCTACTTGGATCTCACCAACATCTACCTGATAAAGCCGGAGAGCAGTGCGGCCGACTATCTGGTTGCCCAGATGTACGTGGGGCCGTTCGGGCGGGTTAGGGCGCCCAAGCCGACGGACCATGTTCTACTTCCGCCACCGGGATACTTTGGAGTATACCCGATGAGTTTTGCTAAGGGGTTGAGGTTTCCTCTTCACCCTTTCATTACTGAGTATCTGGACATGGTAGGGCTTCCTCCGGCCCTGCTGACGCCGAACAGCTACTCCTTGATGGTGGGGTTCTTGCTCCGGTGTGAGGAGTTGGGCTACAAGCCGACAACGGCATTATTTATGAATCTGTACCAGATAGGCCGAGGAAGCCACAAGAACTGTGCGGCCTACGCGACTCTTCAGCAGCTGCCGAAGAAGAGGAGCTTCACGGATTTGCCTACGTCCATTCATGGGTGGAAGAGCAAGTTCGTGTTTGTGTCCATTGGTGAGAATGGCACCGAGTTTCCCTCCCTCGGCCACACCGGGAGATTTAATCTGCATGACCCGCCGAAGAGCTCTATTTTGGACGCTCAGGTGGAGGCTTTCCTGGAGGGGGGGCCGAGGAGCGTGAAAGACTATATCACTGAGTACAAGATGGCCGCCCTCGGCTTCGTGAGGTACTATGTTTATGGTGACAAGGAGGATGACCTCCAACTCTGGCCGAGGATGACCACCACTTTTGAGGAGGCCGACGGCCCGGACTTGGGCATTCCTGCTGAGGCCGATGGTAATTATTTCTTCGGCTTTCTGTCTTTATGTTTTGTCCTTTGCCTTACTAATCTGTGTGTGTTTTCCCTTGTAGATTTTGTCATGGACCGCCGTTCCATGATGGCTATTGCAAAGGCCAAAGCGGCCGAGGAGATTGCTGCTAAGGCGGCCGAAGCGGCCAGGCGTGCCGCGGTCGGTGGGAGCGGGGCTACTGCAGATGCGGCCCCAAAGCCTGCCCCATCCAAGAAAAAGAGACCGGCCACTGACGGCCAGAAAAAGTTGACCGAGGCCGGCGTGAGCGTCTCTAAGAAGACGAAGAGGGCTCCTTCCCCTTCTCCGGCTAGTGAGGCCGGTACGCTTACCGTCCCAAGCGTGGGCGATGGTGGTCCCGTCGTGGACCTTACTGTTGCTGGCGATGCCGCCCCAGCGCTTCCTCTCGTCCAGGAACCACGGACGCAGAGGGCCGGCAAGGAGGTCGCCGGTGCCACCTATCAGAAAGTGATAGAGTACCCCGTCGGCGGGGGCGTGTTTAATGAGCTCGTCCCCGGCCACGTCGTCCTGGCCAAGGCCATGCCGGCCAAAGATCGGGCTCATTTGAAGAAGCTCGAGGACCCGAAGATTTATGAGGGCGGCATGGACCTCCTCGTCCAAGTAAGTAACTGCCCTTATATTTGTCTCTCTTCGTCTGTGTAGAGTATATATATATATATTTTTGTCTGACCTTTGTTTTCCTTCTGCAGAGTGCCTTCATGCTTATGGAAAGCCATAAGAGGCAGTACTGGGAGATAGTCCGCCTGCAAGCGCTGGAGCAGAAGGTTGCCTCGGCCGACGAGGCGGTAGCTTGCCTTGACCGGCTCCGGGAGGATGCCAAGGCGCTGCAGGCCCAAGCTGATGAAGCCGTCGCGGCCAGGGACGATGCCCTGGTCAAGCTCGAAGAGAGCAGAAGGGAGCTCGCGGAGTCCCGCAGGGCGCTTGAGGCCGAGAAGCGCAGGAGCGAGGAGGCCGCCAAGGCGAAGGCTGAGGCCGAGGCCGCCGTCGTGAAGGCTGCCGATGAGGCCATCGAGAAGTTCTTGGCCGAGGGGTGGAAGGCCGATGAGAGGCTCCCCTGGTGCTACGAGGTGGTGGCCGCCAGGCTGGAGAGTTGGGGGATGAACTCCCCTGCCGGCCGGGAGTATTTCAGCCGGGAGATGTTCGTTTACTACAACCTGGGCCAGGAGCGGATGCAAAGGCTCCTGTGTCGGCGGCTATCCCGGGCGTTGAAGGCCATGAACTACACATCTGGATGGGCTAGGCGGAACCTGAAGCTGCCAAAGCTGATGAAGGATCCCGAAGAGCAGGCCAAGCTTCCGCCGTCGGAGCGGGAATCCCCCATAGAGAGCTCCGGCCTTGGCGAGCCGGATTATACTGAATTTGATTTCTTAGACGATGCCACCAGCGCCGCTGCCGGCCAGGAAGCTGAGGCCGATGAGGAGGGGGCCGACGAGGTTGAAGAGCCAGCCCCGGAGGCTTGATCGGCTAGTCCCTATTGTAGTTAGCTTTTCATTTGTTGCCAAATTATGTAATGGCCGTAGTGCCCCCCAATTGTAATGTAGTTTTATCAATTGAAGAAATTTTTGCTGTTCTTTTCGGCCCTGCATCCCTTGTGTGCTTGTTTGCTTTATCATTGCAATTCTGTAAATTGTCTAAGTAGCAAGTCATAACTTAGGTCACCCGCGAGTGTTCGCTACATCCGTGAGGTTGGCCTTCCCGTCCAGTAGTCTGGTCGGCCTATGCCTCTTTGCTTTACTGTCATAACACTTAGGATTGTGTTTCGAAAATTTCCCAAGTATTTTTGGATCCATGTAGCCGCTGTCTTTACGGCCTAGTGGCTTGATCGGCTTGGACGTAGTTTCATAACACTTTGGAATTTTCAAAAAATTTTCTAAGTGTTTTGGGATCCACTTAGGTGCTTTCCTTTCGGCCTGGTGGCCTCGTCGGCTTGGCTGGTGTTCCTTCTCTATCACAACACTTAGGATCTTTTCACAAAATTTCCTAAGTGTTTTTGATTCCTTTTAGGTGCCTCCCTTTTTAGCCTTGACCGCAGTGTCCGTTCCGTCCAGGCGTTGGCGTCCTTATCGTCCTGGCCTTGGATTCATCCCAGGTGTTTTAGCCAGGTCCGTTGTCGGCTTGTATCCCTGTGTTCTGGCCGATAAGGGCACCTTCACCATAGTCCTGTGGACTGAATTTTTCACAAGTACACATGTAGAGGTGTGGGTAGCTAACGGCTTTGTTGTATACTGGTACCCGCTTCGGCTAGAATTCCTTCATTTGAGTACTTAGATAATTTCCTAAGTATAAATGTTAGGCATTTACTTCTTTGCGGTGCCATTGCCGGCCAAGGTCTGGCTTGTAGCCGATGAGGGTGCTGGATAAGAAATAGCTTGTCCAAGGAGGTGGTCCTGCCTTCGTCGGCTAGCCATGGTTCCAGTGCCTTCGTCGGCTAGCCATGGTTCCATGGCAAGTAGAGGTTGTGTTTTGATTACTTGATCCTTTCGCGGGTGTGATAAGTGCCCGCTTCGTCCCGGTCATCCTCCGGTTTGCGATGCTGTTTCATACCAAGCGTTGGTGCCTCAAAGGACTATGGCCGATGAAGGTCACCTCTCGCGTGTCACCCAACCGATGTGGTTAGGGTTTTATAGGCGTGTATATCGGCCTTGATTGTTCCCTCGTGGTGTGTGGACGTGTCGTCCATGCTGCCTGTCAGTGGTACTAAACTTGTGTTCAACTGATATGTACTTGGCCTAGTTGGGCCTGAGTTGTGGGGATTTTATTTTTTCATTGCTCGAGGCCGGCTAGTATGCGCGGTCGTCGGCTTCCCTCTTTTTCCCTTGTATGTCTTTTTTTTTTTTTCGTTTCGGGGGTATCCTTCTTTCAGGCTTCGGCCGAAGGGTGTGCTCGTCCTTCGGCCGGTTCGGACTTCGTTTATAACGTCCGTGATCTCAGGGCGGGTCCCGTCGCCTATTTATGACGCGGGCTAGACTTTTGGTCGGTTTCCAACGGCTGTCGTTGCCCAACCCTGAGTTTTGGGATTTTGTCACCTCGGCCATGATTTCAGGCCTGTCGTCCTGCGATCTGGCGCGTGGACGACGCGGTGAGCTTCCCGTTTCAAGACGTGGGCCGTTTGCGGGCCCCTCGTCTTGGGGACATCGTCGGCCATACCTGAGCGTTTCACTTCTAGGCTTACGGGGCCAGGACGATGTGCTCTCTCAGCTAGACCTGAGCCCTTTGCTGATACAAAATACAACGGAGTGCCTGAGCTTGTCGCTCGTAGGCTGCAAATGCAAGGGGCCATGTCGGCCAGACCTGAGCCTTTCGCTCTAAGGTGGCCGACGAAGGCACCTGCTAATGTTTTACTTTAAATTCCAGAGAAAATCAGAACATGATTTTATTCATAAGTGACTCGAGGCCGAGGGTGGCGTTCAATCAGTAACCCGTTAAGGGGTGAGGGCTTCGCCGTCTACACCTCCTTCGGATTACTGATAAAACTTCACCAGATGATGTACATTCCATGTTCGTGGTACATTGGACCCATTCGGTCGTGTAAGTTTGTAGGTGCCGGGTTTGACCACGGCACTGACGATGTAGGGCCCTTCGTACTTCAATGCTAGCTTGCCACCCTCTGTCGGCTGGCTTGCTTCCCTTCGGCGGAGGACGTAGTCCCCCACCTGAAATTCCCGAGAACGTACCTTGGCGTCATAGTATGATTTTACTTGATGCCGGTAGTTCTCTGCTCGGACGTAAGCTTGCTCACGCCTCTCATCGACCAGGTGCAGGTCAATCTTCATGCTTTCCTCATTGGCGTCAGGCTCGTATCGTTCCACCCGTCGGCTGGGGATAGCAACTTTCGTAGGCGCCTTTGCTTCGAAGCCGTAGCACAGGGCGAGAGGCGTTTCACCTGTCGCCCTCCTCGGCGTGGTTCTGTAGCACCACAAGATGTTGGGGAGCTCGTCGACCCAACTACCTCCTGCGGCCTGGAGTTTCTTCTTCAGCCCCTCCATGATCGTTCTGTTGGCGTTCTCGACCTGCCCGTTGCCCTGAGGGTAGGCAACGGAGGAGAAACGATGCTTTACCTCAAACTCCCGGAGGAGCTCCTGGAAAGGGGCTGCCTCAAACTGGGTGCCGTTGTCTGATATGATCTCCTGGGGGACGCCAAAGCGTGTGATGATGTTCTTGTAAACAAATATTTGGCATCTGGCCCCCGTGATGCTGGCCAAGGGCTCCGCCTCGACCCACTTGGTGAAGTAGTCGACGGCGACGATGATGTAGCGGTTATTCCCGGCGGCTCTGGGTAGGGGGCCGACCAGGTCAATCCCCCATCTGGAGAATGGAATTGCGGTGCTGACAGGGGCGTAGTTGACAGCTGGCCGACCAGGGGCCTTCTGGAGTACCTGGCATGTGATGCATTTCCTGGCCAGGTCAGCGCAGTCGCGCGCCATCGTCAGCCAGAAGAAGCCCTGGACGACGAGACGCCGGGACATGCTGAAAGGGCCCTGGTGTGAGGAGCAGACGCCACAATGAACTTCTTCCATGGCGGTGTCGGCCTCGTCCTGGTGCAGGCACCGGAGGAGGGTGCCATTATAGGACCGTTTGTAGAGTTTGCCATCTTCGATGGTGTAGCTTGGGGCCCTGAGTTTGGTGAGTTTGGCCCTCTCCTCGTCCGGGGGCAGCTCCCCCGTTGTGATGAAGGTGGCGATATCGGAGATCCAGTCCTCTGGCCGCTGTCGGACGCAAAAGACGGGGCTGGCATGGATGCTGGACATGCTCAACTCCTCGATCTTGGCCAATTGGGAGATGTGCTCCGGGGTGTCCGAGCTGAGCTTGGAGAGGATGTCGGCTTCAGCGTTCTCGGCCCTGGGGATCTGAGTGATCTCATGGGTTTCAAACGCTTTCAGTAACTCCTCCGCCGCTTGTTTGTACTGCTTCATCCGGCCTTCCTTTGCTTCGTATGACCCCTCCACCTGGCCCACTACCAGTTTGGAGTCGCACTTGATTCGGAGGTGCTTGGCTTTGAGGCCGGCGGCGAGTCTGAGACCGCTGAGGAGGGCCTCATACTCGGCTTCGTTGTTGGATACCCTGAAGTTGAAGCGGATGGCATAGTAAGCTCTGAATCCTTCAGGGGATATGAGGACGACGCTGCCGCCGCATGACTTCGCGGCCGATGAGCCGTCAGTGAACAGGGTCCACGTATCGTCCGGTTCCGGCCCGGAGTTGGCGATGGCCGTCTCCCTTGCTGTGCATTCAATGACGAAGTCGGCCAAGGCTTGCCCCTTGATAGATGGCCTTGGCTTGATCTCAATCTGAAACTGGCTGAGGAAGATCGCCCATTTCACCATCCTCGAGGAGCTAGTGGGGCTCCTCATGAGCGCGCTGAGAGGCTGCTGGGTCAGCACATGGACGGTGTGGGCTTGGAAATAGTGCCCCAGCTTCTTCACGGTGTGGACGATGGCCAGCACCGTCTTCTCAATGGGGGAGTACCTGAGCTCGGCCTCCCTGAGTGTCTTGCTGATGTAGAAGATGGCCTTCTGCACCCCTTCGTCCTCACGGATGAGCACAGAGCTGATGGCCGACGTGCTCACCCCTAAGTACAAGAAGAGGGTTTCGCCGGCTTTGGGCTTGGAGAGTACGGGTGGGGACGACAGGTACCTTTTTAATTCTTCGAATGCTTCCTGACACTCCGTCGTCCACTTGAAGCTGCTCGCCTTGCGCATGATTTGGAAGAAAGGAAGTGCCCTCTCGGATGACCTGGAGAGGAACCGGTTCAAGGCCGCCAGGCGCCCCGTCAGTCGCTGTACCTCCTTGATGTTGCGGGGCGGCTCCATGTTGATGATAGCCTGCGTCTTCTCCGGGTTGATCTCGATGCATCTCCGGCTGACCATGTAGCCGAGGAACTTGCCGCCCTGGACGCCGAAGGCGCACTTCTTGGGGTTAAGGCGGAGCCTAAACTCCTTCATGATTTCAAAGATTTCCCGAAGGTCGTCGGCGTGGGAGGTGGCCTGCCTGCTCTTGACGATCATGTCGTCGACGTATGCTTCCATCGTCCGGCCAAGGAGCGCTCTGAAGATTTTGGCCACCATCCTGGTATAGGTGGCGCCGGAGTTTTTGAGTCCGAAGGCCATGACGAGGTAGCAAAATATTCCCTCTGGGGTCATGAATGTCGTCTTCTCAGCGTCATCTTCGTGCATGGAGATCTGGTGGTACCCTCTGAAAGCGTCGAGGAACGACATCAGCTCGCACCCCGCCGTCTCGTCCACCAACTGATCAATGTTGGGGAGAGGGAACGGGTCCATGGGGCACGCCTTGTTCAGGTCAGTGTAGTCAACACACATTCTGAACGTCGGCGGTTTCTGTGCGAGGACGACGTTGGCCAACCATGTTGGGTACTTCACCTCTTTGATATGTTTGATCGATAGGAGCATGGCGACCTCCCCTTTGACGAAGTCCCGCCTGTCAGCGGACAAGTAGCGCCGCTTCTGTTTGACGGGCGCGGAGGCCGGATCGACGGTCAGCCGGTGAGTGATCACCTGGCGGCTGATGCCG